TTCGATCCAATATCTCACACAAATAAATCTAATAAACTCCAGCAACATAAAACTAGAATAAAATGAAGTAAATTAAAAAAGTTAAACCAAAATAAAATCATAATCAAGCTGAAGTAAAACCAATTATAAAATCTGAAAGAAGTTGGAGGAGAGATCATACCAAGTCGAAGGAAGCTCTTACTGGGGAGACGAATTGAACACAACTTGAAAATGAAAAAAAGCCTCCTCACCGTGTGCTATTACTCTTGCAACTCTCAAGAAAATTGTTGTCGTCATTGAGAGACTTGCTTCAAACCTTTGATTGAGATGATTTTGTGAAACCCTTAATTGACATAATATCGTTAAGTACTTACTTTCATGAAACCCTTGATAAAACCTAAAATCCTAACTCTATGTAAGCAAGACGAAGGGTTTGAGAAGAAGGAGAAAGAAAGAGTTGGAGTTAAGGTTTGAGAGAAAAATATGGCTGATGGAAGTTTTGATGAGTTTGGGAGGCAAGAAAGCACTCAAAATTTGGGAAAATTTTAGAAAGGGAACGTGAATTTTTTTTGCGCTCGTAAGAATTGCAAGAGTTATTTTCAGAAGAGGAAAATCCAATATTTATTTTAAATGTTATGTGTATGACGATGCTAGTTTGATTCTAGTCGAAGTTTTTTTTTCCAGAAATAAATCTTTTAATCAAACTTAAGAGAACGATCATATAATACTTAATATTTTATTAAAATAATAAAAAAATTATATGAGAACAATTTTAGCCAGTTGTTAATTTAAGTCATCATCTTTTTCATCTATAAGAACGACTTCCAGCCGTTGCATAATATTTGTAAAAAGTATATAAACTACCGCAACAAAATAAAATATTTGTTCCCGATTAAACTCTACAAGAATAATTATTTTACCTCCCAAAATTAGGCGTTGTCGTAGAGTAAAAATGTTGTAGTGATTGAGAAGATGCTTGAATGTCATCAATTGGAGGGATGGAGTATACTTTTAACCAGGTTGCAATGATAGTCTTGTAAGAATGAGTGAAGCGTAGTGACTCTAGTGGATCTTCTAAATTAAAGGTCAGAATTAGGTAAGTTGTGAGGTGCAGACATGTTAGAAAAATAATTTGTGTGACTAGAAGAAGTATGTGAATGATTTGGCTGGTCATTTGGTGAAATAGAAGTGGGATGAGTATGTTGAGATGAAGAAATATTAGGTATAGCTATATATGATGTAGCTGAAATATCAGAGTGATGCCTACCCATATCTGATGTGTTAGGAATATTATCGTATGAATCAAATAGTAAGGAAATCAAATATGTCATCCAGGACAGATGAATTATAAGGTTGAGGTTTATTGTTGGATGGCTTGTAAGGAAAAATTGTTTTAAAAAAAGAAATATCTAGGCAAAAAAATTTCTTTGAAATTTAATCAAATAGTATGTGTCCAGTCCCTTAACAGTAACCTAAACACCTAGATAGACACATTTTCTTAATCTGGAATTCAATTTCTTTATAATTTGCGTGTAAGGTTGAAGCAAAACATAAAGATCCAAAAAATTTAAGTAGGTTAATATCAGGTAAACATTTGTGAATAACTTGGAAGGGTGACTTGTTTTGCAAGAAATGGGTATGCACTCTATTGATGATGTGAATAGCATGACTGACTGCATAAAATCAGAAAGTTTTAGATAAATGAGGTTGAAATAGAAAGGCTCTAGTCATGTGAAATATGTATTAGTGCTTCCTTTCAACTATGCTATTTTGTTGAGGAGTACCAACACATGATGTTTTTTTGGGAAATGTCATTTTCACTATAAAAGTCTCTAAGAAGAAACTCATTGTCATTATTTGATTTGATGCATTTGATTTTGGTTTTAAATTTGCCGTGGACCATGGAAACAAATGCTCTAATGAGAGTTGATGTTTCATATTTACATTTCATGAATAAAATCCATGTATACCTACTTTTATCATCAACTACACCGAGAAAATATTTGTGGCCGTTCATCAAAAGAATAGACAATGGACCCCATATATCCATATGAACTAATTCAGAAATGTCTACAGATTTATGAATGCTATTAGGAAAAGGTAATCTTTTTTGTTTGACATAAAAACAAACATCACAAGGAATATCTGAATGAATAATCTTAATAGAAGAACATTTTTTCTTTATTTCAGTCAACTTGCCATATGAAGGATGACAAAGTCTCGAATGCCAAATGTTACAACCATTTTCATGTCTAGAATCAAGTTTATCAACAAAATTGATACAATTTTTCTATTCTAAAGAAAAGGATTTTGCGAAAGGATCAATGACATACTATGGTGTATTAGGGAATGTAACTAGAGGATGAGTGAGAATGTACAATTCACCTCTTAATTCAGCTGCATTAGTCATCTTTTTGGAGTATTAATTTTTTATCTAACAATTTGAATTGTCAAAAATTAGTTGGCATTTAAGACTTTAAGTCAGTTTAAGGACAAACGTAAGGTTGAAAAAGAAATTAGGCATATGAAAAACATTGGCTAAGAAGAAATTGGTTTCAAAGAAAATAGTTCCTACAAAATTAGTAATAACCAATGAACCATTTGGGATTTTTACAATTATAGGTTTAAATTTTTCAAGCAAGTGAACATTTTTCTAGAAAAACAAACATGATCAGTTGCACCAGTGTCTAGGATGAAGGACTCAAATCTAACATTGATGGGGAAAATGTACATAATACTTGTATTTGATTTGGATTGAAAGGTGATGTGGTTCAAACTATGAGAATTCAATTGTGACGATTGTTGAAGTAATGCCACTAAAGTTTTGTGTTGATCTGAAGTAAAGGCCAAGAGACTTGAATCTTGTTCATTAAGATGTTCTTCATGAGTTTCATATTGAGAACCATATTCATAAATGTGCTCATGAGCTAAATTGTTGATGTTGTCATGTTGTTGTCAATGTGGAGGATATCCATGCTTCTTAAACACATGTATCTATGGTATGATTAGTCATACCGTAATGTGTACATATTCTGATGCCTCTTCCTCGACCACCAGAGTGTACCACCTATAATATTCTTGTCACAAAAAATAAATAATTTCCTCTACCTTGAAACTGAACTAGAAGGAAAATCTAAGAGCTTAAACTCATCAATGAGAGTGACATTTTGTCTTTCTTGTTGAACAAGTATAGAATACACTTCGCAAATATTTGGGAGTGAATCCATCAATATGATTTGAGATCTAACAACTGAATATTGATCATTTAAACCATTCAAAAATCTGTTAACTTGATCGTAATCTTTATAGCTTCAAATGTTATAAATGGCTATACACTATATGACACAATCACATACAAGAATGGAACACATATTATCTAATTCTTGACACAACATTTTTAATTTCGTGTAGTAGGAAGAGAAAGAATAATCACATTGTCTTAAAGTGAAAATTTTGTATTGGATATTGGAGATTCTGAATACATCACCATGATAAAACCTAGCTTTCAACTCCTTCCATATGCTTGATACAGTCGCCATCCCCAAGATGCTTTGAGAGATCTCTGATTCTGCTGAATTGTTCAACTATGACATGATCATAGTGTTGCACCTATCCCAAGCTATTGAATCATGATCTTCATCTGATGGTCTTATCAATGCTTCATTGATGAAGTGAAACTTGTTCTTGGACCTTAAAGCCATTGTCATGGAACGAGACAAAGGATGATAATTTTCAGCATTCAATAGAGGTGTGATTAAAGCAAGAACTGAATTTTCATTTGGATGCATGAAGTAAGGATTTAAGGTATCATTTTGATAATCTTTATTAGGATTTGAAGAAACTCCATTGTTATGGCTTAACAGAGCATGACCATTATTGGTGCTCGAAGAACTTTCAATAGACGTAGTTGAAGAGAGAAAACAAAACTGAATGAAGATCAATGAAAAAAGGAAAACAAATGGAGATATGTGAAGAAACACGAGATAATGCTGAAATAATGGTGAATTCATAACCACATGTCGATGATACCATGTGAAAACCCAAGTCAAAAACACCATAAAAGAATAATAGAGAAAACTTGCAATGCAATATCAAGTTGTATTTCACAAATCTAACTATTACATTGTCTTTACTAGCATTATATATGGTGTAATGAGTTTGTTATGCCTAATAACTAACTTTTAACCTCCACATAACTAACTTATAAAAATTAATTATGATCAACTAAGAGTTACACTATGATCAATTAACTTGTTATACAAGTAACCTCTCCAAACTTCTCTCTCGCACATACTAGACAACAACCTCTTCACAATTTTAAATGACATGTTTATAGGTGTTAAAATGTTGTGGTTAAAACATATTTAGTTTTAAATTGAATTCTTTTTTAGTTTAGAAAAAGTGAGTTAAGGGGTAATAAGGAGATTTAGTTGTGTATTTAATGTGAGCATGCGCAAGTGCTTCTACCTCTTTTCCAAATTCTTCTTCCTTGCACGCTCACTTCAACTTCCTCACTTCCCTTTCATTCCATTCTTCTGCTCAATTCATCTGTAAGTCTTTTCCAAAACTCTGAAATTCATTTGGGGCTTTCTCTGAAATTCAAATTTATTATTCTTATTTTGATCTTTCCAAAAATTGAATTTCTCTTGCTGTTAATTTTTACACACTTCAGTTGCCATGGAATTTCAAAATTCTAAACCAATTTAAACTTTTTGTCTCGTTTTTAGGTAGAAAAGTTGGAATTTATCGTCATCTAGGTTTTCAAAATTGGTCTGCAATTGCGATTAGGGCAAAAAGATAAGATTTTTGATGTTTATGCAACCTTAATTGCAGCTGCTTAAGTCCTATTTGACTTCAATTTTACTTTTATTTTGGGGAATTTCAGTTTCTATTGCAATTTTTATCATTACTATTATTTTTCAGAAATGAATTTTGTTTGGTATGATTATGATATGATATAACCCTTTTTCAGGAAAATTTGTTGAGGGTATAACATCTGTGTGAAGCTCTAAGTAATCAGCATGCGTTGGTTGGGTCTTTTAGTTGATATGTTTCGCCAAGTTGTAAGCTTGAACTTATACTGTAAAGTTATTCTCTAGATTATCATTCTTTTGGTGTGTGCATTGCATTAGATTGATTGAGTAGAGTGTGGTGAGGATCAAAGGAAGTTATGGTAGGCCAAGCAGCTGGTAAAACAACGTTTCGGGCATTAAAACATTGGAATGGTATTGAAGGTGAACCAGCGATTATTGTTAGAGTCATAGCGTGCTTTCAACCCTTACACGATTGTCAGGTTAGAAAATGCGCTGATAATTCATAGCGTTTTCCAATTATTGACATGATATTAAGCTAGCTGTTATTAGTTTTCTCATAATTGAATGAACTTATCGATTTTGAATATTATCTTTGTACTTGTTGCAGGCTGATTACTTCCGTCAATTGCTTAAGCCGGTCACGTAATTGTTCTTTTATCTTAAAGTTGGAATTTGTAGTTTTCTTTTTCTGTCATTTGTTTCGAAGAGAAGCAGCAAGTTATTGAAGGTCCCGTATCAAAGAACCAAACGAGTGGTTTATTGTTCTTTGGGACTTTTTTTCGGGTTCGATGGTTAAGGCTCGTGAGTCTTGGCCTTTCCCAGAGCATGTGGCTTGGCCATCTCTTTATTTGAATGGCGCTAGTACATTGCCGGATTCTAGTTTTTGTGGTCATTCAGCGTATCTGAATCCTGCTCTCAGTGCATTTCCAGGGTTCACAACTCCTGCTACTCCAAGCCTGCAGACTGATCAGACCAATGAAGTTCAAGGGTTTGTTCAGGATCCCAAAACAGAACCGTGTTTGAAAGAAAGAAATAATCACGGAGCTATGCAAAATGCAAATCCTGCATCTTTGCAGAAGAAATTTATTATATTTGACCGGTCTGGTAATAAGACAAGATTGTTTTATAGTCCTGTCTTCCCACTTAATCAGAGTCCAATTGATACTACTATGCAATTCGCTCGAGCAACTGATTTTGGTGAAAAGCATTTACCAAAATACAGTTTTCCGGATGAGTCTGATCAGGATCATGTTGTGAACGAAGAAAGTGAAATGCATGAAAACACAGAAGAAATCAATGCATTGCTTTATTCTGATGATGATGAGGATGAGGATGAAAACGATGAGGTAACAAGTACAGACCATTCTCCATTGAGTCAAAAACCATTTGAGGACATAAAGGAGGATGTCGCTAGCTCTGATTGGCCAAGCAAACGGCATAAGCTAATTGACAGTGGCTATGCAAGATTACCTCCGCCTCTGGACAGTGCTAGTTCTGTTAGACTAAACGAACCATCTGAGTGTGTTAGCGATGCCGAATCCAAATATTCTGGCAGGCAAATGTATTTTACCAGGAAAACCGAAGAGGATAATTCAGCCGTTAGTGATATTCAATTGAGAAAGGCTAAAATCCGTGAATCATTGAGAATTCTCGAGAACTTAACTCCCGGAGCAAAAGGAAAGCATCCACTGTTAGTCATCGATGAAACTATCGATTACTTAAAATCTTTGATGTCTCAAACTGGTATGCTTGGGGTAAAAAATCACTAAACAATAAGTATGAATGATGGAAAAGGCAATCTTTGTTGCGATCTTAACTTTGTTGCATGGTAGTAATTCTGAACATGGCATGCTTTTTACTGTTATTCTCATTCTCAAGGTATATTCATGGTTTAACAATAAAGGGGCAAGCAAAAGCAACTACTATATACAGTAATACTGCAAGTACTGCAATTTGCCACAGTAAAATGTAAATGAAGAAAAATGTGAATTGGGCTTCAATTTGTTGACCAAAAGTTTGTATCTTTAAGCTTTTGGAGATAAAGGGTCACAGATAGAATTGACAGTAGCATGATTAGTGGATGGTTGTGCTGTAAATGATGACAATTCCCTTAAGAAATGTTGAATTTGTGTGATTATATGCATGCGCGTTTGGTAACTTTGGGACCCACTTTCCACCCTTGTCCTTTTGATTCTGGATTATTTTATATTATGCTTTTGTGAGATATTGGAGTGAGTAGAGTCTAAAGTGGGAGAAGAAAGTTTCTGATGTTGGGGAGCGTGGTGTTTGATTTCATCATGAATTGATGGGACCCTTTTGGTTTTGGTGGGTGGAATGAATGGCAACAATTCCATTTTCTACGTTGTCGTTGAGAGGTGTGTGTGTCTTGTGTTTGTTTAGTATTCCATTTAAGGTTTCATTTTCATGATGCAATTATGTATTTATGTGTCGGCTTAGTGAGAATGAGTCGATGTTGAGACAGTGGTCTATTGAGGTTTCAATGTATTTTGGTGTTCTATGAGCACGTATGTTAAAAAATCTAATTATGAAATATTGGTTTAAAAACCATGTAATTAATTATTTAAGAATTTCGAATACAAAATTTAGCATGTTTTTTTTCAAGTTAATAAAACTCTTTTTTCTTTTCAAAAAGTATAATAATAAAATTCACACGTACTACTTATTGCGTGTTTGGTTCTGCGGTGACGAGAGAGTTATACTTTAGAATGAGTAGGTCAGAGTTAAGAGGAGAACCATCCCTAGGTCTCTTGACGGGAGCTTCCTGTCATTGGGGTCCTTGTCTCAAGGGCACGTCTCCCCTTCTCATGTTGATCGGTAGGAAGCTCCATATCATTCTAGGGTCAAATGTGATGAAGCCTAAAAGATGATGGTCATTTATTTGGAATTTGGCCCAATTGATGTCATGTGCAATGTGAGAGCACCAGAGGTGCTCATACAAAATTTTCATACTTGCAGAAGCTATATGAAGACAACTTCGAGTTCACCAATGATTTTGACGACAGTGATCTACAGGTTACCTACCACTGAGAGTGTGCTTTAAGGTGTTATCTCTTATTCTAAGTTGGCACGTCCATGTTTGTGGACAAAAAGGCAGCCTATATCGATGTGGCATATCTTAAGTACTTCACGACTTGTTGGCCATTCACGAGTGGAACTAGGAGGCCACCTGTTTGGTATACCTGTACTCCAAGCTGAGTGAATGTTCTCTTTGGACAACAAAGTAAATAATTGACTCCTGCACCCTACTGACAGTAATTTCCATTGGCATTAATAATTTTAAAATCACTTATTTTTTTCACTTGTTACTAATATTATTTTCTTATTCATTTTCAAGGATGAATTCTATCCCACTTTCACTGCATACACAAGTTTTATCATGTGCTAGAGTATATTGAGGATTGACCACATTCCTGCCTACAATTCTCGCGCAGAGAGAATGATGTTGCGCTGTCGTATTGTGTGTATATTGACCAAACTCAACACAATGACATCGATTGAACACCTTACACCACTCACTGGGACACTGTGACCTACGACGTTGTTTCATTTTACTTTCGATGGCTAGCACGCGAGATGAATAAGATGTGCAAGCATCTGCCAGAGCGATGCATGCGTTGGTTTGGATATGTACAAATCATTCTGAGATCCCCCTCCGTGTCTGCTCCTAATAGCATCATCCGTAGACATCTTGATGACATACTGACGGATTACGAGATTCATCTGGTACTAGAGGAGTATCGGAGTATGTCAGCCACAAGTCAGTGGTCTTATGTGGACGGTTACATGACTTGGTTCTATAGCGTGTCACACCCTGTCATGACACTAGACACTCTTGGACGTTCACTTAGTCTTGCTAATGAGGAGATTCTGGAGAATGAGCAGACCAGGGATGACCATGTCATTGATGTGTTGTCGATCTATCAAAATATTATGTGGATTACGCATGAAGACATATAGTCTGGAATGTTAGAGAGAGGTGGTGATGATGCGGTTGTTATAGCATGTTCCATTCTTACTAAGGCACATAATGCCTTGGGTTACCGACGACAGAGGAGGAGGCAGAGAGTTAGAATTAGGCATACACAATAGGTTATGCTTTTATTTGTATTTTGGAAATTTTTTGTATTATTTTCCATACTTCGAGAAAAATATTTGTAATATTCTGGACTGATTTTTTAATTAATGCATTACCTTATTCTATGATGTTCGTGTTTATTAAAGTTTGAATCAAATTATAACACTGTTAGTCGAATTAAAATGACTTTAGATTAAAAAAACACAAACTTAGGACAATGTTTCTGTCCAAGATGCATTCAGGTAAGTTTTTGGAGATGCATCTCCGAGTTCACCTCAAAAATATTTGGAGATGCATCTTCCAACCAATTTTTGTCAAAAAATGGGGTGGTTATTTGATTTATGAAAGATGAAGTGATTTCAGATACGTCCAAAGGTGCATTTCTGAAAATACCTGAGAATTTTTTTGAATTTTTAAGAGGTGTGAGCCACACCCTAAGGGTGGGAAAAGAAATTTCCTTTAATTATGTTGCGGGCATGTAAACCTTCATCTATTGGGTCTGACATTATTCAAGAGAACTTTTGGGTTTTGTTGCACTAATCAACGAATATTATCCTATACCAATGTAATTTCATTTCAAGGACAACCATTGCAGCATGCATGCAAGATCTTCATCTACTAGGTAATTCATCTGTAGACCTTCACCCATTGAGTATTTTTCTAAATACAACTAAATTATCATTCTTTTTTCACATTAAATTTCTTACTAACTTTCTCACTTTCTTACTCACTCACCACATCACTCATTTACTATTTTCTAACTTAATGTTGAGAATCAACATGTCATTATTGTGGCCAGAAGATAGGCACCGTGGAACACCAAAAATATAGTAGCTTATGCAAGAATTACTATTACTATCAATATGTTTTTAAAATTTGTTAAATTATTTTTAATCAACATGTTTTCCATATACTTTTAAGTATTTTTTTTACAAAAAGTGGAAAACAAAAGAATTAGAGTTCATTCACATTTACAACTCATTCTTCATTTGATTTTGAGGATATTGTTTGCCACGCAAGATATTGTGAATTGGTGTTGTCGGGGACAAACCAAAATATGAGAAAAAGGTTGAATTTCTTGAACAAACACAAGAAACCTTATTAGGTTTTACAAAAGAGAGTAAAGAAGGAAGAAGAAGAATAGAGAATTGGTTAAAACTGTTTTACTATTCACGTTCTCAATAAGGATTCAAAGATTACAAGTGAATACTAACAATTAATCTACCTCACCCTAATTAGAATTTTCACCATATTACAAAGATGAGAGACTAGCATGCTATTTATAAGAAAACTAACATACTAAAATGATGGGTTTTTACACACAGGCCCATTACACAAGCTAACTTAAACAATTGGGCTTACAAGCAAGACCCAATTCGACATACTAACTTTAATTACAAGTTAATATATTTTGACAGTATGCTCGAACAGACTTCGACTACAACATATATAACTCTGGTCAAACCATGAAGCTACCCTTTTCGACACTAGAATTTGATCCAAATACCAATAGTCCCCACCTTGGAACGAACTTTACGCAAACAAGGGAACAAACTAGATTTCATCATGCAACTTTATCAATTGCATACAGTGGGAAAACTTGCTACTCGACAATGTATTTTCCTTCTCTGACAGGGAAGCGTCCATCTTCTCTGATCCTTTCAACGCTTCCAACAAATCCTGTTGAACAAGAAGGGCTTGCATCTTCAAGCGCCACAAACCGAAATGATTCACACCAATGAATTTCTCAATCTCATACTTTATTGACGATATCTTCTACTCCACGCTCACCGCACCAGTTTGTTCTTAATTAATGTCGTCATGAACAAACCAAAAAATGAGAAAAATATTGAGTTTCTTAAACAAACACAAGAAACCCTATTAGGTTTTACAAAAGGGATAGAAGAAGGAAGAAAAAGAATAGAGAATTGGTTAAAACTGTTTTACTACTCATTTTCTCAATAAAGGTTCAAATATTACAAGTGAATACCAATAACTAACCTCCCTCACCCTGATTAGGATTTGCACCACATTACAAAGATGAGAGGCTAGCATGCTATTTATAAGAAAACTAACATACTAACCTAATAGGCTTTTACACATATGTTTATTACACAAGCTAACTTAAATAATTGGGCTTACAAGCAAGACTTAATTCGACATACTAACTTAAATTACAAGTTAATATATTTTGACAGTATGCTCGAATAGACTTCGACTACAACATAGATAACTTCCGTCGAACCATGAAGCTAACCTTGTCGACACTAAAGTTCGATCCAAATACCAAAAATCTCCACCTTGGAACGAACTCTACACAAATAAGGGAACAAACTAGCTTTCATAATGCAGCTTTATCAACTGCATATAGTGGGAAAACTTGCTACTCTACAATGTCTTCTCCTTCTCCTATAGGGCAGCATCTATCTTTTCTGATCTTTTCAATGCTTCTAACAAACCCTGTTGAACAAGAAGGGCTTCTTGAAGCTCCACAAATCGAAATCATTCACACCGGTGAATTTCTCAATCTCATACTTTGTTGATGAAATTTTCTACTCCACACTCACCACACCAGTTTTTTCTTAATTAATGTCGTCAAGAACAAACCAAAAAATGAGAAAAAGGTTGAGTTTCTTAAACAAACGATAGAAACCCTATTAGGTTTTATAAAAG